AAGCTCCTGTACTGCGGTCTGCTCTGCTCAGCCACACTACAAGAAAGGTAGGAGACACATCGGGGACAAAGAGGGGAGAGAGAGGGGCACTGGGTGAGGAAAACTATGGGAGGGAAGAGAAGGAACACTATGGGGGAGGTAAACTATGGGGGGCTATAGGAGGGGGAAGGAAAACTATAGGAGGGGGCAAAGGAACACTATGGGGGGAGGAAAACTTTGGGGGAAGGAACACTACGGGACAGGTGAGGGGGGAAAAATGCTATGGGACACAGGGGGGGAAGAACACTAAAAAAGAGGGAGGATTGAGGAACACTAGGGGGGAGATAGGAGCATTAAGGGGGGGCACTAAGGTACAGGGGAGGAAAGGAAAAATGAACACTGGAGTAGTGGGGGGACCACTAAAAGAGAAGGGATATGAACACTAAGATGAGGGGTTGGAGGAACATTAAAGGGAATGGGGGGCACTAAGAGACATGTAAGAGGGAGGGGAGAGGAACATTAAGGGACGGGGGAGGGAGGGGAGTGTAACACTAAGGGACAGGGGAGGGAGGGGAGAGTAACACTAAGGGAAAGGGAAGGGAAGGGAGAGTAACAATAAGGGACAGGGAAGGGAGGGGAGAGGGACACTAATGGACAGGGGAGCGAGGGGAGAGGAACACTAAGGAACAGGGGAGGGTGGTGAGAGTAACACTAAGGGACAGGGAAGGGAGGGGAGAGTAACACTAAGGGACAGGGAAGGGAAGGGAGCGTAACACCAAGGGACAGGGAATGGAGGGGAGAGGAACACCAAGGGACAGGGAAGTGAGGGGAGAGGAACACTAAGGGACAGGGGAGGGAGGGGAGAGGAATACTAATGGACAGGGGAAGAAGGGGAGAGGAACACTAAGCGTCAGGAAAGGGAGGGGAGAGGAACACTAAAGGACATGGAGGGGTGAGGACCATTCAGGGACGGGGAGGGGAGAGGACCACTAATGGGAATGGAGGGGAGGAGAGAGGAACACTAAGAGACATGGAGGGGAGAGTGGCACGGCACACAGAGGGCCTGAGTGGAGAGAAAGACACACAGATGGGCCTGGGGGTGAGAAAGTCCACAGAGGGGCTGGAGATGAAAGTGCCACACAGAGGGGCTTGTGAGTGGAAATACAAAGGGGTTGGGGGTGAAAGAGACACAGAGGGGCTGGAGAAGAGGAAAAAGAGACACAGAGGGGCTGGGGGGAGATGGGCTGGTGGTGAAAAAGAATCACACAAAAAAGCTGGTAAAAGTAAAAGACACAAAGAGTCTGGGAAAGAAGGAGACACAGAGTCTGGGGGGAGTAAGAAACACAAAGGGGGCTAGTAAGAGATACACAAGGGAGGTGTAAGACACACAATTGGGAAAAATAGGCTTTAAGACACTAAAGGGGTAAGACATTTAAAAAAGGGGATAAGAAACAAAAGGCGGGTTAGGAGGCACACAGGTGAAGATGCTTTTGGGAAGGGGGCTCCAAAATCATCTTTGCCTGTGTACCCAAAAATTCTTGCACCAGCCCTGGCCATAAGACCTGCTTTTCCCATGGAAATCTCACTTTAACAGTGCTCTTACTACTGCAAGGGATTTTGGGTAGGCGTATGCAAATAAGCTCAACAAAGAACCACATTTTTTGCCTCATAATTAGAGTTGAGCGAACCTGGACTGCAAAGTTCGGGTTTGTACCGAACATTACATTTTTGGGACCCCGGACCCGAACAAGGACATATGGAGTTCGGTGTTCAGCGATTTAATGGAGCGTTTTGAAAGGCTGCAGGGCAGCCAATCATCAAGTGTTTGACTCGTGTGCCCTTAGAAGCCATCACAGCCATGCCTACTAATGGCATGGCTGTGATTGGCCAGTGCAGCATGTGACCCAGGCTCTATATATAAGCTGGAGTCGCGTAGCGCCGCACGCACATGAGGTCTTATTAGTGTAGGGAGGGGATGCTGCACCTGTGAGGGACAGCTTAGGAAAGAATTATGCGAACTAGTATATTAGTGGGGTGCACTTCATATCTGAGAGTCAAATGGAAGCGTCAAATACTGCGGTTACATCAGAGTTTTAAAAAGTCAATTAAATAGAAGCGACAAATACTGTGGTTACATCGGAGTTTTAAGAAGTCCATTTTTTTGGTGCTAAACTGCTAAATAGTAAATTTGAGGCGTGCTCTTCATATCTGAAAGTCAAATAGAAGCGTCAAATAGTGTGCTTACAGCGCAGTTGTAAACATTCTAATTGTTTTGGTGCTAAACTGCTAAATAGTAAATTTTGGGGGTGCACTTCATATCTGAGAGTCAAATAGAAGCATCAAATAGTGTGCTTACAGCGCACTTGTAAACATTCTAATTGTTTGGTGCTAAACTGCTAGATAGTACATTTGCGGCCTGCACTTCATATCTGAGAGTCAAATAGAAGCATCAAATAGTGCGCTTACAGCGCAGTTGTAAACATTCTAATTGTTTTGGTGCTAAACTGCTAAATAGTAAATTTTGGGGGTGTACTTCATATCTGAGAGTCAAATAGAAGCGTCAAATAGTGCGCTTACAGCACAATTGTAAACATTCTCATGACCTTCATTCCATGTGGGGTCTAGGATCTCATCATCCTCCACATAATCTTCCACCCACTCCTCAACCCTGCCCTTCTTGCCGGTCTTCACACTGCAGAAAGCCACAGCAGTTGGCGGCTAACTGACATGCAGGTCGGGCTGAAGGGCTGGATGCTGGGCGGGCGGCGCTGGCGAGGGAGCACTTCGTATGAGCTGTCTGCTCAGCTCCCTCGCGTAACATCATATTCCGGCTCCCAGCCTCACTCTGCAGCGCGCGAGGGAGCTGAGCAGAGTGCTCAGAGGAAGTGCTCCCTCGCCAGCCGCCCCAACGCCGCCCGCCCAGCAGCCACTGGACCCCCAGGGAGATAGAGAACCCCCCCTCCCAGCATTCCCAAAGGTAAGGAGGCTGGGGGGGGGGTTAAATAAAAAAAAATTAAAATGTGTTAATGTGAGTGAGTGTGTGTATATGTCTGTTAGTGTGTGTGTGTCTGTTAGTGTGTGTCTGTGTGTGTCTGTTAGTGTTTGTGTGTCTGTTAGTGTGTGACTGTTAGTGTATGTGTGTGTCTGTTAGTGTGTGTGCGTTTCTGTTAGTGCGTGCGTGTCTGTTAGTGTGTGCATGTCTGTTAGTGTGTGTGGGTGTGTGGGTGTGTGTCTGTGTGTGTGTGTGTCTGTTAGTGTGTCTGTGTGTCTGTTACTGTGTGTGTGTCTGTTACTGTGTGTGTGTCTGTTAGTGAGTGTGTCTGTTAGTGAGTGTGTCTGTTAGTGAGTGTGTGTCTGTTAGTGAGTGAGTGTCTGTTAGTGAGTGAGTGTGTGTCTGTTAGTGTGTGTGTCTGCTAGTGTGTGTCTGTGAGTGTGTGTCTGTTAGTGAGTGTGTCTGTTACTGAGTCTGTGTCTGTTAGTGTGTGTGTTTCTGTTAGCTAGTGTATGCGTATCTGTCAGTGAATGTGTGTGTGTGTGTGTATTTAGAAGGCGGGGTGGGGGTAAGGGTTGGGTGGGGTGGAGCGGGGGGTGAGGGGGGCGTCTGAGTTTTGTCCTGCCTAGGGCAGCACAAAACCAGGATACACCACTGGGTGGAGGGTTATTTCTTTGTCTCGTTCTAGTCTATATGTCTATGTATTAAATTTTTCCTGTATATATATGATGATTTATTTATAAAATGTCGTGTCTATTATATCAATCGAATATATTTTGTGTTGTTACATGTCTATTGATTCTTTTGATACTATGGAAAAAACAAAAAACTTTTCAATAAAAATGTATTATAAAAAAAAAAAATAGGATGTTTACAACTGCGCTGTAAGCACACTATTTGACGCTTCTTTTTGACTCTCAGATATGAAGAGCACACCGCAAATGTACTATTTAGCAGACGGGCACCATAACAATTAGAATGTTTACAACTGTGCTGTAAGCGCACTATTTGACGCTTCTATTTGACTCTCAGATATGAAGAGCATACCCAAAATATCTAGCATTTAGCAGTTTAGCTCCCAGAAAATAAGAATGTTTACAATTGTGCTGTAAGCGCACTATTTGACGCTTCTATTTGACTCTCAGATATGAACTACACCCCCAAAATTTACTATTTAGCAGTTTAGCACCAAAACAATTAGAATGTTTACTGCAGTTTGGAGGAAGAGGCGGTGGTCTCACAGAGGCACCAGCACAGCATAAGAGGGAGCACTGTGCAAAAGCAGAGCTGCCATCCCCTAGACAGTACGCCTGTTACTGCCCATGCATCCAGGGACCGAGCACACCAAAGCCAGCTCCAAGTAGTTCCCTGGTGTGGCAGTTCTTCAGACAATGTGCTGATGACAAGACACGAGTGGTTTGCACGCTGTGCAATCAGAGCCTGAAGTGAGGCATAAACTTGCTAAACCTGAGCACAACCTGATGACCAGGCATCTACATGCAAAGCACGAGCTGCAGTGGAATAAGCACAGAAAGGTCTCAGGCTCCTCCTGCTTCCTCTTCTGCTGCTGTGTCGGCCTCTTCCTCCACCTCTGGAGTGACAGTGGCACCTGCCACCCAGCAAACAGAGGATGTGGCAGCAATGCCACCGTGTCCGCCACCGTCCCCAAGCATCTCCACACTGTCCCATGGAAGCGTTCAGCTGTTCATCTCCCAAACACTGGAGAGAAAGAGGAAGTACGTCCCTACCCACCCGCGATCCCTGGCCCTGAATGCCAGCATTTCAAAATTTGTGGCCTTTGAAATGCTGTCATTCCATCTGGTGGAGACGGACAGTTTTAAAAACCTGATGGTGGTGGCTGTCCCACAGTACGTGGTTCCCAGCCACCACTACTTTTCCAGGCGAACCATCCCTTCCCTGCACAACCAGTTGGCGGACAAAATCAGATGTGCACTGCGCAACTCCATCTGTGTCAAGGTCCACATAACCACAGATATGTGGACCAGTAAGCACGGATGCTATATCTCCCTAACTGCACACTGGGCAAATGTAGTGGCGGCTGGGCCTGAGGCGGATAGCAGTTTGGCACATGTCCTTCTGCCACCGAGGATTGCAGGGCATTTCTCTTTGCCTTCTGTTGCCTCCTCCTCCTACTCCGCTTCCTCCTCCTCTACCACCACCTAATCCGGGCAGCGTAACACCTTCACCACCAACTTCAGCACAGCCAGGGGGAAATGACAGCAGGCTGTTTTAAAACTCATATGTTTGGGGGGGAAACCCCACACCGCGCAGGAGCTGTGGACAGGCATGGAACAACAGACTGATGAGTCTAGATATATCAGAGCTGCTGCAGAAAGTGGGGGCCGTCTGTGCGCGCTTTCGGCTTTCTCACCCTGCTGCTGCTCGCCTGTCTGTGCTGCATCGTAACTTCAGCCTTCCCGCTCACCGCCTCATATGCGACGTGCCCACAAGGTGGAACTCCACCTTGCACATGCTGGAGAGACTGTGCAAGCAGCAGCAGGCGATAGTGGAGTTTCAGATGCAGCACGCACGGGTCAGTCACTCTGCGGAACAGCACCACTTCACCACCAATGAGTGGGCCTCCATGCGATACCTGTGTGCCATTTTGCACTGTTTCGAGTACTCCACCAATATGGCCAGTGCCGATGACGCCGGCCTCACGTCTATGTCTCCTTGAAAAAACGCTGCGGGCGATGATGGAAGAGGATGTGGCACAGGAGGTAGAGGAGGAGGAAGAGGGGTCATTTCCACGATTATCAGGCCAGTCATTCACAAGTGGCTTGGAGGGTGGGTTCCTGCACCAGCATAGGCCAGGTACTCAATTGTCCAGCCAGGGCACAGTTCTGTAAGATGAGGAGGAACCAAGTTCACAGCAGGGTGGCACCCAACGCAGCTCGTGGGCATCACTGGAGCGTGGCTGGGGGGATACGGAGGACACAGATGATACACCTCCTACAGAGGACAGCTTGTCCTTGCCTCTGGGCAGCCTGGCACACATGAGCGACTACATGCTGCAGTGCCTGCGCAATGACTGCTGAGTTGCCCACATTCTAACTTGTGCTGATTACTGGGTGGCCACCCTGCTGAATCCCCTTTACAAGGACAACGTGCCGTCCTTAATTCCCTCACTGGAGCGTGATCGGAAGATGCGCGACTACAAGCGCACGCTGGTAGACACGCTGCTGAGGGCATTCCCAACTGACACCGGGGGCTCAGTGGAAGCACAAGGCGAAGGCAGAGGAGGAGGAAGAGGTCGCCAACGCAGCTGGGGCATCGCCAGCACCTCAGAAGGCAGGGTTAGCATGGTCGAAATGTGGAAAAGCTTTGTCAGCACACCACAACAACCAGCACCCCCATCTGATATGGAACATCTTAGCAGGAGGCAGCATTTCAGCAACATGGTGGAACAGTACGTGTGCACATGCCTACACGTACTGACTGATGAGGCCAGTATATTGTCTGAACGTGTGTTTAGCACGGCAGAGGCGTTATCACAGACAAGCGCAGCCGCCTGTCACCAGCCAACGTGGACAAGCTCACGTTTATTAAAATGAACCAGGCATGGATCCCACCAGACTTGTCTGTACCTTGTGCAGAATAGACATTTATACCAGCCTCACCCAGCCAGTGTTATACTCAAGTGCACTTATTCTTTGTTTTCTTTTTTTATATGTCCCAATATTTTGGGGGCTACCCCAATAAAAAAAACAAACAAAAAAACAGTGTTGGCTACCTCCTCCTCCTCTACTGCTGCTTCTACCTACTCTGCCATAGTCACCCCCTCCTAAACCTATGGGTCATGTAGTATAAACTATGTACACAATAGCAGAGCCTTGTGAAGGCCTTTTCTCCATGCATCAGGAGTTGAGCTTAGTTTGAACAATGAAAGAGAATACCCTGTACTCCAACCCTCTCTCAAACAGATAATTCTGGTGATCCTCCTGACAGCCATGCTTTAAATTTTGATTTATGTTCTTCCGAAGCTAAACTTCAATGGGGTTCGGGTTCGGGGTCAAGTTCGAGCACGAACCCAGACTTTTTTTCAAAGTTCGGCCGAACCCGCAGGACCCGAACATCCAGGTGTCCGCTCAACTCTATTTATATCAAATCATTTTGTAGCACAATTATGTTAAACAGATATACATCATGTTCACACTATGTATGAAGGATGTTTTGCTGTACCATTTGCTGTTTAATAAAATAATGCAAATATGGCTAAAACACTTTGTGGCATGCGCTGTACCCTTTATGTCGATGCCAGTACGGCGGCCATTTATATTACCCATAAGCTTGAATATTACTGGTAATGCAGTCCAGCAACAGCCTCCACTAGCAGGCTAAGGCACCTGCTCACCATGGCATTATGCCCCAGTGATTTGTTGACAATTTCTATAGAAAATTATTGATACATGGCCGTGCCGATATATGCTGCAGATGACATCCAGCAATAGCTCTTTAGAGCCTGTCTGGCATGGAACACTGTGATGGGGGTGTTACAACATTTTGCCTGCCAATCTACAGTGTAGGAATGTGGGCAATCTATTTGCCTGATACATGCCATAAGCATTCTAGTGGCTGGAATGTGTCTGCTGACTGTGAGGTACAGGGTCAAAGTTTACTCAATGATGATGATGAATAGGGGGCGGACCGAACAGCGCATATGTTCGCCGTCCGTGGCGAACCGTTCGGCGAACCGTTCGGGACATCACTATATGCGAATATTGTAACTCAGTTCCCAAAAAGGTCCATGTGGGTGTACCCCTTGCATGGGGATTGTCATATAAGGCCAAGTGTGGCACCATTAAAATCAGTTCCTCTTCACCCTCAACATAGAGCCTTGTCTCGTGTGGAGGGCACAGCAATATCACAATACGCCCCTGGGTATAATCACTAGCTCTTATAAGAGCTGTTCCTGCTATACTCTCTGGAGTAGGAGAGGTTCACCCACTGGAAGCTGGATCCTGGTCTTGGGTCCAGGGTGGGTGGAGGACAGCGAGATCCCCAACCAAGCTGTGGCGGTTTGTGGGCATCTACAATGGTGTCTGGTGGAGTGCTTGGAGTCCTTGGTGAGCACTAGGAGCATCGATTGGTGTCTGGTGGAGTGCTTGGAGTCCTCGGTGAGCACTAGGAGCATCGATTGGCGGAGGCACCCGGTTGGAGTCCCAGGGGGTCCGTCACAGTATAATTTCAACAAATTTCTTCTGTAGGAAGCAAGCAAACATGCATGCTAAAATTAACGCATGTCTCCATTTTGGCCCCAGTAGTTTCCCCAGGATCTTTCAAACATATATATGTGGGGTATTGCTGAACTGAAGTTGAAGCAGTATTCAAATATGCGGTCTTTGAAGAAATCAACAATTACAGTTCAATATGTGTAAAAATAAATTACTGCTAAATTTGGCCGAAATTAGTGATGAAATGGCTAAATGAAAAGACTCAACATGCCCTATAATAAATATCTCACTTTGTCTTCTTTTGTAAATGGTACACCATAATGGCGTTAAAATGCAAGTGGGGGTTTCTATTTTGCCCCATGGAACAAGTAAATAAATCAGTGAAAATAGGAAGTTTGAAAATGGAAATTGGCATGTCTGTAAAGGTCTAAATGTGGGATATTGCTGTACTCAGGGACAGTAGAATACAAATCTTGGGGTTGTTACCGTAGTGGGACACACAAGGTCTATGAAATTGTCTATGAAAATGAAATAGGTGTATGAAATACACAAATATATAACCAGCAGATTTGACAGAAGTTGTCTAAATGAAAAGTATTAAAATGCTCTTAATAAATATCTTGGTTTGGTCTACTTTATATGAATATACACTTTTGTTTACCAGTTTCGGATTATGTTACTGAAATTATAGTTTTAGTCTCAGCAGACCTAATTTTGTAAATGTTTAACTTTAATACAATATTAAACTCCTTGCAATATTTGTCCTATAATATCCAAAAAAATTATTAAATATTGAACAATTTAACAATCAGTACTAATAAGTGAATGCATTTTATTTTGCGTGCTTATTGTGTAGAAATTATTAGAAGCAAAATTATGAAAACATTTCTTTTTTTTCTATTTCTATTTTTTTCCCCAATTTTAAAATAAAAAGCACAATTAATCCTTGAAAAAAATGAATATATATTATGTATGGGTGCACTTAATAGGAAAGCTGAAAGAAAAAGTACAGTGGAACAAACAAAAAGCATAAGTGCAGAAAGGCCACAGTCACAAATGCATGGAATCTCAGTCAAACTAAGTCAACAAGGGAATAATGGCTAAAAATAAAATGTATTTTGTATAAAAAGGTGAGAAGTTGCAAGTTTGTTTTTCAGAGCTTCATGGTAAACATATAATACGTGTTTAGTTCCATTGGTACATAGAACAATTTGTAGTGTTGTCATGTGAATAAATTGACAGAAAAATAGCCTTCAAATCTGCTAGCCTTTTGAGGATAACATAGTTTATGCTTAGTAAACCCTTGCAAGACATTAAATGTTTCACATGGCACCAATTTTGTCTATTAAATACCGTAGCTGACAGTGCATCATACTTTGTACGATGAGAGGTCTAATATTTTGTGCTATTTAATAATTATATCCGTTTTTAAATGGGGAATTGCAGGTTTGACACAAGCAATATAAAAGTGATTCATTCAGGGCAAGTTTACAAGGCTCCATTAAAGCCAAAATATGCCCTTTACAGATAATTTTCTGAAAAGGTTGTACATGGCACAAAATTGCTCAGGTTAAACATCTTTAACTTTTTTTAATACTTTACAAAGATCTAACCTTATTTTTTACTAGGAACAAACCTAGTTCTGCAAAATTTATTTACCATGAGTTGGGTCTAGCTTTATCTACAGACCGAGCTGTTTTGGAACTACGCTGAACAAAATTATAAACGCAACACTTGTTTTTGCCCCATTTTTTTCATAAGCTGAACTCAAAGATCTAAGACTTTTTCTACGTACACAAAAGGCCTATTTCTCTCAAATATTGTTCACAAATCTGTCTAAATCTGTGTTAGTAAGCACTTCTTACTAGGTGTGCCTTGGGCTGGCCACAATAAAAGGCCACTCTAAAATGTGCAGTTTTACTATATTGGGGGTGTGCGGAGGTGAAGATGCTGGATGTGGAGGTCCTGGGCTGGTGTGGTTACATGTGGTCTGCGGTTGTGAGGCAGGTCGGATGTACTGCCAAATTCTCTGAAATGCCTTTGGAGA